TTGCTTTGTCTTCAGAGGATGTAGCTAGTTTCCATAGCAAGGAATTAAAATTATGGAAAATACATGAAAAATTATAAAATGTAGAGTGCATGTGTGCTAAGGTCGAACAACAAGTAATACTTGTTGGTGTTCGAATTATGTGATTATTAAGTGATATCGAGTTAGGAGATTCTTAGAATTTTTATGATAGGTTAGAAAATTATTTTTAGGCATATAAAGCCCTAGAAAAGATGTAGTACTTAATTAATAGCAATTTCAATAAAGAATTAAATTAATTAAAAGGCTTGGGAATTATAAGTTCATGGGTTTAGTGTCTTTTGAGCTTGTAGTTTTTTGATTCCCAAGTTGTTTTGGCCGAACCATAGGGCCTTGGGAGGGTTCATCAACTCAGCCCAAGTTCTCCACACCTTGCCCTAATCCTACCTCATCTTAGAAATCCTTCCATGGCAGCCCTTGATTGGGATATAGGGCAGAAAAATCTGATACCTTGTTGCCTTTAAGCTGAGTTGGTTCAGCCTTAATTCCATGCAACCAATCAGTTCACATGAGTCAGATTGCATGATATTTGTTTGGGCAGAAATCACAGCCACACTTTTTCCTCTTTTGTGCGCATAGTTAGGGTAGGAAGTCTGAACCGGTTGCTTATACGATTAACAAGAATAAACCAAATCAATTAGCTGCCTCCACATGCGCCCAATGAAGAAAACAAAAAAAAACTGATCCGCTTGCAGGTGCCCTTACTGGGCAGAAACCTTACACCCTTTCCCCACACTCACATGTGCGCATGGTAAGGAGAGGTCTTGATAAAATTCTGGCCATGGGTGATATTGCAATCAGATTTTAAACTTCTCTCTTCCTCCTTCTTATGCGTTGTGTAATATAAGTTGTGGCTGAACTATTAACCCGTAAACAGAAACTCGGTCTTCCCCTCTCCTCTTGACCGTGCTCACCCTAGCTAAGCACATCAGAATCATTGTTATAACATTTTCCTTCCCTCACACAAAAAAAAACATGAGCCAACATAGAAGGATATCAAGAACAACAACACCTGAATCCTTCCCTTTCCCTTATTCTAGCAAGGCCGCGAGCTCCTTTGAGCAGGGAACAAAATCACTCAGCATTTTCCTCCTTTTTTTTTCTTGTTGATCGAACTCCACATAACAAGAAGACCGAAGCCTTGGAGCATAAGAGGAGCCTCCGACTGCATGCACGGTTAAACCTTGACTGTAGTCTTCCACCTTTCTCCTTGTGCTTATGGTCACCATTTAGGAGGGCTGGACCTGTTGCCTTCGTGGAGCATAGGAGGCTTGGTGTTGCTTCTCATTTCGTGTGTCTCCTTGTGTGTGTGCTTGCAAGAGGTAAGCACCAAATCCTTCCTTTTTCTCTGTTAAACCGTGAGACATGCTAGGGAAATAGTCCTTTTAATTATTTTATGGCTCTTCTAAAATTCTGTCGTTTTGTACCCTTAGGTCATAAACTGAAAACATGAGTTGAATAAACCTAAGAATGATCCTAAAAAAAAAATTAATAAGTGGTACTGTTTGCATGTTATATATATATATATATCTAGACTTTTTATGAAGCAAAGTTATGTGGACAACACCTTATATCCTCTTATAGCGCACCAAATAGGGTTAGTAAGCCTTAAAATAATTTATCTTCTTGAGAAAAGGTTGTTGTACATATGATTTCTGCTCACTGTTGTGGCTGAAAAATGCTGTTGTTTGATGATCTATTGTCCACTGTTTCGCTGTAAATTCTGGACAGCATGATATCTTTATATTTTTTTGAAAACGTTGCTGGAGAAGAGTCTTGTGTCCTCTGTTTGCTGGAAAATATTTTAGACAGCTTACTATACATGTTGTAGCGCACTTTTAGGAGATAGAAGAAGATAATTGATTTAAAATATTTTAGGCCTTGTGAATGCTGAAAACCGAATCTATATTAGATGTAAGTGATATGTTTTGTCTCTAATTAATAAAAAAATAGGGCTGATGTATTTTATTTAATGAAATTTTTTGTAGATGAAGCATGAAAACCGATTCTGCCCTAGTGGAGTTATTAATAGAATTGCTCACTGTTGTAAGTGTATAAAGGTTGAATTAGAATCAAAAATAAATTTATTGAAAAGGAACCTTAAGGCCGAATGCTATAGGAATTATTAAGCTTTGGACTTTGATGAATAAATTGAATGTACACCGATTTATTATACTGTAAATTAGGTACGAAAAATCCTTGAGAAGTTGGACTATCTCACTGCTTATTGGTAACTTAAATTTCGACGTACGAGGTATGTGTTAGGCGGTATTACCTAATGTGACTATTAGCTAGAGTATGAAATTGTGATGTGTTGCTCACATATGCTCAATGTTATGTTATGATGATGATGTGTCAATGGTAAGAATATGAAATGATGATAATGCTATGTGCATGCATTTTTACATCATGATGCATTTTTCTGTTTGGTGTGTGACCGCATTTCATGGCATGTATACATTAGATCCATGTAGGCTTTGAAAGTAGAATAGTTATATACAGGATCATGTGGATGAGCACGCATCATATAGGCATCCCTCGGTACCAGGGTATGGGACACTTGGCATCTGTCCGCATAGGTCACAGTGGGATTCAATAAATGAGGGTGCCGTTGCATAGAATTCCCACTGTGTATGCACGCGCACGACGGTGCTACGAGCGTGATGAAGGTGTTATATACGCAATATGATATTTGATGAAAAGGATATATGATGAAAAGGGTTTTTATGTTTGAAGCGACAGATTATGATTTTGTGCCTAGTTTAATATTGTTGCATTATGGTTTTGTTGCCACACTACTGGGATTATTCTCACCCCTTTGGGGCTGCAATTTTTAAATTACAGGAGGACATAAGAGCATTCGAGGACTTGGATGTTTGAGTTTTGCTGTATTTTGCTGCTGAGTAGAATTATTCTATGTTGACTGTTTTAAGTTTCGGATGACTGTATGATGTGGTACTTGATGATTTTTGGATGACTGTAAAACTATGATTTATTTCTGCTTTTAAGTCTTTCTACGAACAACGGCTATTTTAAGAAAATCTGAAAACGTTTTGCAAAAAGGAAAAATTTTTAATGCTGAATTTTTAACAGTTTACGGACAACCTACGAGTTACGTTTCAAGGGGAAAATGACCTCCGATTTACTATTATTTTATATGCAGGCGAAGCCCCAAGCGTCTACTTTCAGATTTCGTTAACTGTATAAAAATATTTTGAAAGCTCGATTTTATATTAATGTTTGAATGCTGACTGATTTTGGAAATTCCGCTGTGCAAACAACAATGTTTTTATCAAGTTCTATCAATAGATTCTTCTTAGATTTAGTTTTCCACTTTAATAACTCAAGTATTTAAAGAAAAAGTTTTTATCCACTTCCGCAACTCTAATAACGATTAGCAAACGACTCTCTTGGATGCATACAAGAGAGGGTGTTACACGAACTTCTTATAAATAATAGGAATCTATTAATAGAATTCTGATTTGTATCACATGTATTTAGGTGCACGCAATTCTTATTGAGTGGGCTGAATTGTGGTGCTGTTGATTATTGCGTGGACATGAGGTGTGTGTTAGGCGGTATTACCTGATGTGACTATTGACTAGTGTATGGATTGTGAATTGTTGCTCACATGTGCCTTATGATTATTTTGCCATAAATGATGAAATTATTCTGCCTATGGAAATGTTATGATCATGGAAATTCTGTTATGAAAAGAAAGAATGGCTTGGCAGTATGGCATCCAATGTACATGAAATATATGTTATGAAATGATGATATATGCAAAAACCGTACATCATACCGCATTTGTCTTTCTGTTTGTGTGTGACAGCATGGCATGCATGTACCAAATTCATGTTATTCTTGAGTCTTAGAATAGTTATCTACAGGATCATGTGATTGAGCACGCATCATATAGGCATCCCTTGATATCAGGGTAGTGGGACAGTTGGCGTTAGTCCGCATAGGCCACAGTGGAATTCCCCCAATGATGGTGTCGTGCATGGAATTTCCACTGTGATGGCACGCGCACGACGGTGTTATGAGCGTGATGAAGGCGTTATATACGCAATATGATATATGATGAAAAGGATATATGATGAAAAGGTTATATGATGAAAATGATTTCGTGTTTGAAGCGACTGTTTATAATTTTGTGCCTAGTTTAATATTGTTGCATTATTGGTTTTGTTGCCACACTACTGGGATTTCTCTCACCCGTTTGGGGCTGCTATTTTTATAAAATGGCAGGAGGACGCAAAAGCATACGAGGACTTGGATATTTGCTGTTTGTTTCTACTGTTGGGCATGTTACTGTGATTGTATTAATTTTATGGATGACCGCATGAAATTGAGAAGCTTAAATTACTGTGAACTATGATTTTATTATTGCATTATAATTTTATGACCTGCAAGTTTTTTGGAAACAGATGTTGAAACGTTTGCGAAAAGGATTTTGACATGTTATCTAAATGCTGAGTTTTGAAAAGTTTTTGCGAGCACTTTGTAAGTTGTCGTACTGGGGCTACGGACCTCCGATTTTCTTATAATTTATGTGCACGCGTAGCCCCAAGTGTCTAGTTTCGTTTTATATAAACCTTTCAAAGAAATTCTGAAAGTTCGATTTATTATGAATTTTACCAGCCAGGACGTTTGTGATATTGTCGCTGTTTTACCCCTTATTTTGCGAGTTATGTTTCGAGGGGAAAATGAACTTCAAATCACTATTATTTTATATGAACGTAAAGCACCAGATGTCTAGTTTCTAGATTACAAAGAATATTTTTTTTAGTCGTTGAAATAGATTTTATACGAATTTTTAAAGACAGCAAGGTCTGTTAGGAAATTTATATTTTTAGTAAGTTAAGAAATTTTGCGTACTCTGATTGTTGTAAGGAACCCGATTTCAATTATAAGTTTTTAATTGGCCTTGTAAAAATCATTTTTCAGTCTTTAATATATGATTAAAGAACTCTAATCCGCTTAGCAAGCAACTCTCTTGCAGGCCTACAAGGGAGGATGTTACAGACAACATCACCAGTGGCCAGGAATGGTCTGCCCAGAATTATTGGAACTTCTTGGTCTGCTTCAAAATCCAAGATGATGAAGTCAGCTGGTAGAATGAACTTGTCTACTTGGACAATGACATTCTCGATTTTTCCTTCTGGCTTGGCTATGGATCGGTCTGCAAGCTGAAGAGTGACTGTGGTTGGTCTTGCTGCTCCTATGTCAAGCTGTTTGAAGATAGAAGCTAGCATTAAATTTACACTCGAGCCCAGATCACAAAGTGCTCGACCAAGGTAGTTCTTCCCAACTGTACACGGGACGGTGAATATTCCAGGGTCCTTCAGTTTGGGAGGAATCGTAGTCAGGTATTTGCATGATTCTTCAGTGAAAGCTACAGTCTCAAATTCCTCAATCCTTCTTTTTTTTGACAAAATGTCCTTCATAAATTTTGCATACGAGGGCATTTGTTCCAGAGCCTCCACCAAAGGGACATTTATGTGAAGCTGTTTCTACAAGTCTAAAAACTTGCTAAACTGTCTATCTTCATGTTGTTTTTTTAACCTCTGTGGAAAAGGAGGCTCAATTGGTTCACTCCTCCTTTTGCATGGTGGAACATAAGTTGGGACTGAAACTGGTTCATTGTCTTTCATTGCTCCAACATCTACTCCAGATGTTGTGGCAACTGGTGTGACTTCAGTGAGATCATCGTTCTGGACCTTCTCCCTTGATTTCGTCTGAGCTTCAAGGGGTTGAGGGTCAGTAGCTTCCTCAACTCCTTCTTCCGTAGGTTGTCTTGCTAGTTCGTGTTTATGAGATCGTGCCACTAAATCTGGAGGTGGCAGAGTTTTTCCATCTCGTAAGCTTATAGCATTACAACGCTCCTGGTTTTCCTGGGATGGTTTTTCTGTGTCACTAGGGAGTGTCCTTGGTTGTCTCTGTTTGAGTGCTCCAACCAACTGACCAATTTGGGTATCCAGGCTCCTCATGGCTGCACTGTTCTGATTCATGTATTCCTTGACAAAAGTCTCAAATGATTGGGACTTCCCTTCACCCTTATCCCAGTTTTGATGGTTCTGCCTGGGATATGGGGGTCGGTTTTGGTAGTTTCCTCCACTATCTCCAGCATTATTCTGACTCTTCCATCCCCGGTTGTAGTTCCCTTGAAAATTATCATTGCTCCTGTTGTTGTTATCGTAACCACCTGCATAACACACAGCAGCCAAATTGTTACAGTCCTCAGATTCATGAGGACCTCCACAAATGGAGCAACTTTGACTTGATTGAGTCAAGAGAAGTTGCACGGTTGGTTTTTTCTGTTCCATGGGCTTCCAATTTTTTATAGTATTCTGGAGCAAAGCCATCTGTGCTGAAAGAGCATCAGTTGAGCTTAGCTCAAGAACTCTTGCTTTCTTGGAAGCATTGTTCCGTGTGGAAGGCCATTGGACATGTTTTTTTGAAAGTTTTTCCAACAACCAGTAGGTTTCCGGATAAGTAAAATCCAAAAGATCTCCCCCTACAACCGCATCAATAGTGGCTTTCAATGGTGGGGTTAAGCCATAATAAAACGTGTGAATAATGCCCCAATCAGAAACTCCATGATTTGGGCAAATTCGTATTAATTCCTTAAAGCGCTCCCACGCTTCATAAAGACTTTTTCCATCATACACTTGGAAAGATGCTCACTTGGGCTTGTTTTGCTTGGGAGAAAAATCGGGTGACAAACTGTTCAGCTAATTGCTCCCAACTAGTGACAGAATTTGGGGGCAATGTTCTCCTCCACTCTTTGGCTTTTCCTGCTAGGGAAAATGGAAACAGCCTCATTCGCATATTTTCCTCTGAGATACCATGAACTTTGAAATTACCAACTATCTCAGTGAAGTTGTCCAAATGATTGTGGGGGTCTTCCATAGGAAATCCATGGAATTGACCAGCATTCATAATCATTTGGAATATTGCAGGTTTGATTTCAAAGTTCGGGACATCCAGAGGAGGAGGAACATAGCCTCGTTCTGGACCATTTCTGAAGGGAGCAGCCATATCATTCAACGATGGCCCTCTTCCTCCATTCTGTCCTTCTTCATTCTCATGATTATTATTTTCATTGTTACCATTTTCACCATTATTTAGAACTTCCTCCATTGTATTATTTCTTAACCTTTTAACTCTTCTTCTATTTCTGAAGGTTCTCTCGGGTTCTGGATCAAAATGTACTATTTCCAGTCCAAGTTCTGTAGGTTCTGTGCTCATACAATAGGAAGAAGTCAAACACAATAAAAACAAAAAAGGATTTTAAAAACACAAACAACAATGTTGCCTTAAAAACGCCATTTCTTGCCAAATGATCCCCGGCAACGGCGCCAATTGCTTGGTCGAACTGAGAGCTGCTCAGGGATATTTTTAAGGAGCAATAATACAAAGTGATAATCGAGATTGCAAACAGGAGCAATCTACTCTGACGGAGAGCAAGCCTCTTTAACTATACGCAAGCGTACGTGTCAAGCAATACAGGGTGTTGTTAGCCCCAGATTTATCGTCCTCAGGGAGCAGTTGTGAAGAAGGAATCGTTTAGGGAAACTTAATTCTTAGAAAAATGAAAGGAAAGTAGTTATTCTCAACCAAGCTTCACAAGGAGCAATCTCTAGCCAGCTAGTTAAACAGTGTTAACCATTCTGAACTAGATGAGAGCAGTGAATAACTTAGCATAGTCATCGAATATCAAGGCAGCAAATTGAAGTAACTCAAAAGAAATTAGTGAAGTGATTATAAAAGCAACAATAGATAAGCACAATTTGGTTATCGTGAAGAAAGTTATAACAAAAGTTTGATGTGAGATTGAGTTTAGAAAGAGTTAAGTAGGTGTTTCGGGTTCCATATTTTCATCCCTTTGGTTAACCCTGCTTGGTAGCATATTTTAAAAATGGATTTTGCTCCTTTTGTCATTTTGCCACAAGTAAGTAAAATAGCAAGGCCTTACTCTCCACATTACTCCGTAGAACTTAGAGTTAAATGCAAGGAAACTATGCTGCCTTCTCAAAAGAGCCTGGATTCACATGGCAGTGCTCTTCATTCCTGGTGTTCCTCCCTCCTTTCTTCAGGCTGAACTACCCCAAGATCTTGAGACTGCTCCGCACGCCCTTGTCAGTGTTTCATCGACCGAGTGGTCCCGGGATGAGGTTTCCAGCCCAAAGGGTTTCACAGAATCAATATATTAAACCAAAGAACAGCTCAAAATTCATTCATAAAATGTGTGTTCCTTACAAAGCTATCCTAAGACAAAAGGGATTACTTCTATGGAACCCTCACCTACTTAGAGGGAGTTAGCTCCTAGCGAGCATTACAAAAGAAAAATATCAGGAAAAATAAAATGGCAAGCCCTCCAATGATGTCTCCTTTCTTTCTCATGAAGGTTGATTCTTCCTTTTATAGAGTTCTTCTGTCAGATCCTCATCGTCCCTTTCATCAAGGGTTGTGCCTTCTTCAAATCCTCTCCAATAGCCGGTCTGCTCTCTACCAGCTCAGCTCTGCATGGCAGTGGTCCCCCTTGCTTTTGGTGCTTTTTCTCGGGTGAGAATTTCGGAATCAGGGAGACACCTCCACCTTCTCTGCTATGGCTGACGTGGAGGCTCCTGATTGCTGCCTTTTACTGCTTTTGTACTGTAGCAAGCTTTTATGCTCCATCCTGCGCAGCATTCTTCCTTCTTTTCTTTAATGTGTGGGCCCTTCTGTTAGGTCTCAGGTTTCCTGATCAAAACAAATCAACCCAATAATCATATGTGAAAAAGATAATGTCAATTTTCTCCAGGCCTACTCTAATTCCCATTTCAAGTATTGCTCTGGTCCACTTTTCAAGACAATTGCTCTTCATGGAAAAAGAAGGTTAAAGAGAGTGATTTGTGACCAAAACAGGGGTTTTGTGGAGTGATATATACTTAATGGACCTCAACTTTTGAGGACCATCACTGATGCAGTACAAGATCCTCCAGTAGGAGTACTGATTTGCAACTCATAAGGTAAGGGAGCCGGGGTGATACCTATTCTCATTGCAGTGTGCCCCACAATAAAAGAACCAGATGCTCCAGAATCGAAGATAACAAAAATAGGATAACCATTGTTGCGGATCTAGCAAGTGTACTAGTCGTACAAGTAATAAAATGATGAGTAAAGATCGTTCCCACGAGGATTTGTGTCAAGCACTGACTAACCATATGTACTTGAGTTGAATCAAACAAAAGTTCATAGATTGCATAGATTTCTTGTCACCAGAAACTACACTAAATTGAATTAAAACTTGATAAATAAATAAAATGTAAATTATAATGTAAACAAGTAGTCAGATGTCATTTTCCCTCAAACATGAATTTATAGATGAACCAATTTCCATTATGAATTATCTACTATGTGATGTTGATCAACCTTTTTCTTATCATCTCAAGATGTAATCCCTTACTACCCTGATAGACACATTAATCAGAAACCTCAATCCCTTGGTGATTCCTTTCTTAATACATGCATTAATTACTAAGGTCTTAAGATCACATCAGAATCCTAGCATCAATCCCTTGACTACTAGAACGCTGATGATGAAGTTATCAAAAATAGAGAAACAATGTAAACATGTCTGTTCTACACTATTCCTCAACATGAAGAATTAATCAAGACGAATTCCATGAGGATTTGACTGATCAAAGTTTTATATGATTGATCAAATTAAGGATACAATCTTATACCTTGCATGTTGAGCTTAAATGAAATGATTGCATGACTCATTCAATGTGTGAGAGTAGAAAGATTATTTTTGATGCATATAGAGAAATTCAAGCATGCACTCTGAACTGTGGGGAAATTGAGCCTATACAGATAATTTTGTTCCGCTCAGTTTTGGGCGTTTTAATGTTCAGCACCAGCATCTTTTGTGCAACGGGGCGCTAAAACGCTCAGTTTTGGGCGTTTTAATGTTCAGCACCAGCATCTTTTGTGCAACAGGGCGCTAAAACGCTTGACTTTGGGCGTTTTAGCGCCCAACACTTAGAATTTTCCCATTCTTCAGAATCTTCTTCCTTATCTCTTTTGCTTCTTGAGCTTCATTTCCCTACAAAAACAATGTAAATTTTCAACATAAGCTTCAGAACTTGTATTTGAGAGATTTTCAGGACATTAACCTCTTTTCCATTCATTGAATCACACAAATTGATATTAATTCATGCTTAAAAACCTGATGAACTAAAGGTTCATCACAATTCCCAGATTAGAACATTGCTGTCCTCAGCAATGAATTAAAACAGAGAAGGACTTGAGATTCTTTACAGATGAAATTCATGAGGATGGATTTCAATTAACAAAAGATTAACATTTCATGATACAAAATTATAACCATGCAATCTCTTATTTCCTATGATTTGCCCAACATCATTTGTGACTTTTCAACAGATCAGTAAAGATGATATACAGAGACTTCCAAAAAACA